AAAGGTATATCATTTATACTTACTATACCAAAAAAATTAATTAATACAGAAATGAATCAATACAAAAAATCCGCAGCAAAAAATAAAACACCTGATGAAGAAATCGTCGAAGTGGATCGTGAACAAGCTTCAACTACTCCTAATACCGGACAAACTTCTACCCCAAAAAAAGTCGATATATTGATTGTTTTGTGTTATTCCATTCTGTTATTCAAAGGTGTATCATTTATACTTACTATATCAAAAAAAATTAATTAATACAGAAACGAATCAATATGAAAAATCCGCAGCAAAAAATAAACCATCCGATAAAGAAATCGTTGAAGTGGATCGTGGACAAACTTCAACTACTCCTAATACCGGACAAACTTCTACCCCCAAAAAAAGTTGATATATTGATTGTTTTGCATTATTCCATTCCGTTATTCAAAGGTATACTTACTATATCAAAAAAATTTATTAATACAGAAACGAATCAATACGAAAAATCTGCAGCAAAAAATAAACCATCTGATAAAGAAATCGTCGAAGTGGATCGTGGACAAACGTCAACTACTCCTGCTACCGGCCAAGTTTACCAAAAAAATTATCGAGATCCATTTGTCCTCGATATAAGTCAAGTTCTAATGGAATCTCGTCAAAAGTCAAAAACAAGTCGAGATCTGGAAGAATCCCATACCGATAAAGAAATGGCCAGTGCGCATTTTCCGAAAAGTTCTTTTGAACATACCAGAACTATTAAACCACGAGAATTGTCTTTATCTCGAATGCCGCACAGGGATTCCTTATCACGAGAGTTTTTACCATATGATTTTTCTTCGAGTTCCGTTGAACCATCAGAATCATTGGCGTATAGATACATTAATAGTGATTATGAAAAGTTGAAGAGAGGTAATGAACTTTGACACATTTTAATGTACTTAACGAATTTTTATCAAATATTTTACGTTATTTAGAACATAGTCGGCTCTGTGACGAGCATGCTTATTTACAAGGCAGAATGTGCGAGGTCTATAGAGAGTTAAAAGAAATTAAAGGCGAATTAAATGAACTTTAGCAAGATTATATCAAATTACATTCCCATAATAAGTATATCAATCACGAAAATGAAGTTCTTCGAGCCGAGATTAATAATCTCAAATCACAAATATCGAGCCAAGATGATGCCGATGTCGAATTGTCGGAAAGTGAAAGTAACGACAATGATAATAGACCTGGCAAAAAAAGAAAAGTCTTGAGACGTCAAATTGATCAATCAGATGATGATTCTGAAACTGACGAAGAAAATGCTAGAGTTCATTAGAGATCGACAGATTTTGCATTTTACACGATTTGAATATCCTTTTTACGAATCTTTTATAAATTATTATAGACTGAAATGAAGGTAATATTAAAAACGATGCCTCCCAAATTAATGTTAAGATACGATGAAAAATTTACAAACGAGACGAACGCAGACATTTTACGACAATTAATACCATGATTGATTACTTCCATGAAGCCTCAATTTAGTCCTTCGTATAAGCAGATAAACGATTGGTTAGCTGCCTTACACAAGCATCGTAGAGCACGACTTTTATATGTTGAGCGAGGTGTAATTGATAAAGATAACAGAAGACTGCATAAAAACAACAGATTGAGCGAGGTAGAATCTGTCTTTTTACTGTCATTTCTAAATTGATACTAAACATTCGTTATATTTCAGAAAAAATTGCGTAGAGTCAAGGGTGCTATTTTTCTTTTTAAACGTAATGACTATCAAGTAAAGGATTATGATAAGACAGAGGTCCTAAACATTCTGAAAGATACTCGCTACCATTCACCTGAAGACTCAGAAACGGATAAAGAACAACCGGATGGTAAAAGAAAAATTATCTTTTATAACCTTTGTTGGCATTCCGATGAGGTATAATAATCTTTTTTTATCGTATTTTATTAAAAACATCAACTAATTTTATTTGTTTTAATGACTTTATGACTTTACAGCTTATCAATTTTCTCCGAAACGTCTTGGATACTCACGTATTTTCTCTACAGACAGCGCAATTAACGAGGGGGAGAAACTATGATGACGAAAGCTATTGTATCACCTCATGACACCCTAAAAATGCTCCAGAATGGGCATACAAAACTCAAAATACGCCCATCGATACAGATTTTTCTGGTCCTGATACTCTGGCTTAAAATCGTGAATCGCAGTCACAAACTGATTATAATACTCAAACTGAACATAATGATTGATTCATTTTATCATTTTATGATAGATTTATTGCGAAATATTAATTTCTTATTATTGACTGCTTTTTGGTAATAAATTTAATAAATTTTATTAAAATAAATATATAATTAATTGTTTTGATTTATTATTGAATAAAATCGGTTATTATTATTATGAATAAACTAAATCCGGCATTTCAAAAGAAATAAATTGGTAATCTTTCATAAATGTATTTCAAGATCGATTTGTGTACATTTTATAACTAAAAGTTTGACGAATAGTTTTGTTTCCGAATTTTGCCGATAATAACGAATTTTTGCCGATTTGTGATTGCCAAGTGGCAGGCGAACTGTGCAAATCGTCCATAATAATTTTGTCGATTTTTTTGGCAACGATCGGCCAAAGTTAGATCAACTTTCGTCCAACATTCGTCAATTTGAAATTTGAACGAAATGGACTATTCTGACCAGTGAATCCCTCATATTTGGTCTTTCCAGACCGCAGTAAATAAAAATACTTTAAAAATTTATACATCTAAACTAAATATAGCACTGCACCACATAATTAATAAATTGCCTAGATAGTTTCTGGCATTACAGTGTCACTGCAGATTATACAAACCAACTCTAATACACGTATTACTATTATTGTGTCTGCATATCCAGAACATGTATGGAAAGCCATCCTTGACAAAAGGTTGATGTCCAAACATCATGAAATATAATATTTAGACATCATGATGGTATGTCTAGACATCATGTTTGATATATGTAGGATGATGTTTGTACATTATTTAACATGATGTGAAAGACATCAACCGACATGATGTCTAGATA